GACTTGATATTTCTTTGATTGAATATGTACCCTTCTTCGTTGTTAGATAAATATCATTGTGATGGTCACTGTTGAAATGATGTACTAATAGACTTGAACTATATCGGTATCCCCTGCTTTCAATTCAACATCGCCAAGGAATGACATTTCCAATGTTTTCTTTGCAATTAAAGTATCAGCATCGTTACAAGCTCTGATCACTTCAATACCATTTACAGTAAAAATGCTTGAGATAAGGTCGATCAGTTCTTTTTTGTTATTTTTGTTGCTCAGAAATGTTGTTTTGGTGACAGTACAAAAGGTGGATTTCTTTACAGCAATATTAGCACAGAACGCTTTAACTCTCCTCTTGTGCTCGTGATCTTTAGTAGAAGGCTCATATTCATCAAAAATCACAGTAACTTCCCTATTTTTAGGGATAAGCTTCAAGTACTCCATTGCTTAGTTGGTGAATTAGCCAACCTCCATCAATGACTAGTGGGATCGTGAAGCTGCAAGATTTAAGTGTAGATTGGTTTATACCAAGAGCAGCCTTATTAGATTTCCTCATCATCTGATATTGATCAAATAAGCTCATCGGCACCACAGTTAACTCGTATGTTAGGCATTCCTCTATTGAAGTCTCTCTATCAGCAACCAAGACTTAACGGTTAAAACACTTCAACGGATCGACTGCAACGCTTTTATTATTCACTTTAACCTGCTTTCTTAGTTGTGTCAAGTTCTTTGCTTTACCTTTGATACTTATCTTATCGATGAATGTCAACCCATCTAGCTCACGTTGAAGGACAGCCCCAACGGCCAAACATTCCTCGGGATTCACCTCATCGTTCCCAGGCTGTGATATAAGACCAGTCGAAAAAGATATTAACTTAGTCTTATCTTCGGATTCTGTAATGTCGACAGTAACTTTAAACCAAGTTAATAATTTTCCAAATACATCACAGTTTTTCTTGATTGATGACTTGGTAAGATCTGCATCTGAGTGGATGGCAGCTTTAGTTGGTACTCCTCGCTTCGATGAATTAGCTAATGAATCTCTAAAAGACTGATTTATTAAAGCCATCTGATTCAGGGTGGCCACCCATAACTTGTGAGCGGACTCACGATTACGCATCCTTCCACTTGTTAATCCACCACTAAATTTAGCTGCCCTCATAAGACTCTGCTCTATGGAGAGGTCAGTCCACACCCCGGCCCACTCGTGGTTGTTGTAACAAACCGTGTGAAGCCCAGTTACTTTAAAGGTCTTTAAAAGCGCCTCATACTTGACTTTAAAAATAGCATCCTGCTCCAAATACAGTCTTAAAGCTTTTGCATATTTATATTTTTAACTTGGGGTGTAAATATTTTTAGGGTTTTTATTTTTTAAATTTCAGATCTTTCATACTATTTGTTACTAAAATGCTCATTGTAGCCTATAATATTTAGATTTTCATCATCATCATCATACTGTCCCCTTCCAGCTGCTGCAAAGTAGGGCAGCATCAAAGCTACTGCTGATAAATGCATATTGTAGTCGTGCAACCTCTCTGCTCTTATGAAGTCCTTTACTAGTGTTATCATGTTGTGGTAAGTAACCCATAGAGCTGCTGTTCTACTGTTGGAAAAAAGGTTCTTTAGAAGCAGAGTTATTCTCTCTGATAGATCCTGAATAGATTTAGTCTTAAAGTTAACACCTACATTTTCGTTCACACATTTGTTGATGTAACCTTCCAAGTCTACTAGTTCATCGTCGTAAACTTCTTCCTCTATAATGAAACAACAAAGAGCGGCGTCGATCAGAAAGTGGGCTCTCAACGCTTTATAGTAAGATCCTCCATCCGATATATGCGTGACGTCTCCAGGATACACGAGTTTGATGAGCTCCTCTAAACCCGAGTCTGCCATTATATAGCCTATGCAGCCAAGAAAACTCGTGAGAGTGTGGAAGCCCCCAACCCTGACCACAATAGGCATCCCAGTTTCCAGTACTATTCAGGTGGCCTTAATCCACAATGGCAAATCGAATGTGATTATCATCGGCTCACTGTAGGATAACTTAAGACATTCAACCAGAGTAGTATGTACCGTCGAATAGCTGTCTGGGGGTTGGTCAATAATCTGTTGTTTGTTAGTTAACCTTGATATCCCGAGTAAGATTTGAAATAAGCGTTCAAAATAATTTGGTGTATTTTTTTCGAAATTTCAATAAAATTGAGAAAAATTTCGAAAAATTCCATTTATTTCGAAAAATAAAGCCCCAATCGTTCTGAAACTATCATTCGCCTGCCATAATGTGGCCATTGCGGTCATTTTGCACCCCCTATGGAGATATCAAGACCTCCGGGAGCCGAATAACCAATATTAGGGGTGGGGCGTATGGGTTCCTGGAGAAAAATTACTATAAAAATTTTTGCCCAAAAGTTTCAGCTGGACGGGTTTTTTGTGGTTCCTGGGACTATGGACAACACATTCCAGTAGACAAACCTTTGTTACGAATTTGTTCACAGAAAAATCAACTCTTGCCCTAACTATGTCCTGGAAAAATGTCTACTTTACAGTAGGCAATGCTGAGTGGCAGGAACGAGGGACCAAAATGCTTGGGGCTAACAATGGTCCATTTACAAACCACTTCAGACATGGCAATGATGTCATTTATGCTTAATTCGTCTGATTCGTCTATTTTTCCGATTTTGCTGACTGTTTCTTTAGATCTGTTTCGGTCTTTCGTGGCAGTTCCCACATCTGCTGGTTGAGAATGCTCAACATAACATACATGATGCTTGACTGCTTTATTGACCCGGGCAGGACCCGGGGGCAGACATCCCAACACCAGTGCGTTGGGACATAGTGTTGGTCTTTTTTTTTTTTTTTTTTCTTTTTTTTTAGGTCGAGGGCGCTCACTCTACCTCCCCGGATTAGCAAGGAGGCTACGTCCGCCTTGTGGCTAACGTCTGATGGAGCTCCTTTGGACTGCAGGCTTTGTACCGTCTGCTCTGCTTGGCATGGGGTTCGCAGAGCCCGGTACGTCCAAAAGACATAACATTGTTATGACCCGGTGGATCGGCGATGACCCTAAGGTTATCTGCCATAATGATCCGTCATCGAGAGACTCCATAGAACCCGTAAGGAGTCAGGTGTCGAAACACCCTCCCGGAAAAGGTAGTGCGTTACTTCGAGGAACTACCACCGCATTATGCTAGCGGGCCTGCCCTGGTGATCCTCGAGGTTGTGTCATGCTTTTAGTATTTAGGAGGATCGAGTTGAGATGATATTAAACTCGAACCCTGGTGTGTTGTTCCTTTGGTTTATCTTTGGTTTCACGTATTTATCTTTTGACATCCCTTTGTTTCAGATTGTTTTGTTATGCTGCGCGCGGCTGTCACGCGCTCTCGTGGAGTGCTGATTTTGGTCCTTTGTATAAAAGTTTGCCTTGGCGCTTTCCAGACTCTTCCTGTTGTAGAGCGCTCACTTTGGAGTTTTAGTGATATTCCGTGGTTGTACATGGTTTTGCGGCTGGTTCAATAATGTCATTTTTCCATGACTGGATGGGTTATTTTGTCCACTTTCCGTGGCGGAATAGAGAGTGCCAGTCTCTGTGTTTGAACTGCTGATGTGATTGAGTGAGTGAGATGCTGCATTGCTACTGGCTGACTCGCCAGCAGCAATGCAAGTCCAAGAAGAAAGAAGGAGAGACACTGTCCGTTCTCTGGGTAAGCCACCACCGACAGTGCTCCCACTTCTGTGGGGCTGAGGGTGTTGGCTCCAAGAACCAGCCGTGAGCGAACAGCGCCTGACTCCCTCTATGGTTAACTTGAGAATAATAGGACTATGTCATTCTCCAGGCCAATCCGTTCAGTAACCAGCTGACCCAGCACCACCTCTGATGGAAGATGTGGTTCGGATTGGACTTCGCTAGGATTTGTCAGTTTTTCTGTAGACACTAATGCTCCCTCGAGGAAAGACATGAGCCCCGGCGAAATTGACCAAAAACGCGACAAGGATTCTCACCCTGGATAGTGTTGGTCTGTTTCAGGATGTGTTAGTTCCCAGAGAAGCCGCCATCTCCTCTACTGCTTTAGCCCAGCGGCAGCATGAGCATGAGCCCTGGTTTCCTGCCACATTTGTACCTCCGAAAGTACAGAAAGGTGGTAGATTTCGGGGTCCAGGATCCTCCCTCTTTATTCTTTAAGGTGTTATCAGTTCTCTGAGATGTTTGCAGAGTCTTTGTTTTATAGTCTTTCTAGTTGGCTAAGTCATGGAAAGATTCATTTTGTTCTCAAAGAAATTCTACCCTCCTAATGAATGCTTTTTGGGTGCTGCTTTTTGTTGATATCAGAATATATATATATCACTCCGCTATATCTGTATGCTTATAAACAGCAAAGACTGGGGACCCAGGTTTTATTGAATATAATAAAATAAGTCATCACGGATCAGGAAATTGAGTGGCCATCCACAAAAGAAAAACGGCTGCATTTCTTGTTATTGATTTCCAGGGCTCATAATTGATAGCTTTCTATACAGTAGCATCAGAGTTTTCATATCTGCTGTCTTTGACTCTAAGAAGCGTGCTCGAGTGTTTGCATTTGTGACTTCCGCATCTTTCTTGAGTTTTTTGCCATTGTCAATGAGGGATCCTGAGTCTGGCCTCCAATGATGAGAGAGTTCGATTTTCACCATTTCTCTTTCTAATTTGATGACTCAACGGCTTCTACCATGGCATTCAAACTGAGAGGGAGTGTTTCAATGTTACAGAGACTCTACTTATTTTGTCCTATTGAATTTAAGTTAATTTAGTAAATTCAATGTGTAGCTTTTGATAAATCAAATATCTCTTCAAGCCACAGTCCACAATCCACATTACATACTCTATTTATCATTTATCTTTTGATGATAATATTATTATTTAAAACATTTTCGATCTTTACTTTCACTGTATAGAAATGATGTGTATTGCTGCAGTTAAAACTTGAAACTTTCATTAATCTTACACACTATTTACTATATTGTATATTAGGTGTGTCCAATCTTTTGAGGCAATCATGACCACAGCAGCAGTACCCACAAACCCAAAAAGTCAAATGGCTGAGGCATATGTTCAGAAGCACAGAATTCCAGAACTCTTTGAGAACATGACAGCTGCCCTCATTCATTCCCAGCCAGGTTAAAGGAGCTTAAATTATCGAAATGTTTTTTTAAAAATATTTAAGATTTAATGAAGTATTTTTTAATATGGAGTTCTCTATAATTTGTGAAAGGATAATGGCACTATTTAAATAGTACATAATATAAACTTTATGAGCTGGGCTTTGACTCTGAAAAATTACACTCTTGCAATCCATACAAGTTATAGTAGGTTATTACTCCTTCTGCTAATTTTATTCTAAAATATTTCTTTTTAAATGAATTGAATGTTTGTCAGAAAACGCCAAGAAGTTCATGATAAAGTACTTGGAGACATTGAAAGAGTACAGAGACGAGAAGGGAGACTACCCCGCCATGTTCACCGATGCCAACATGACTGCTGTGTTTGGGATGCTGGATGTCACTAACAAGGGCTACATCAGCATGGAACAGTATAGAAGTGGTACGTTATAACGTTTTGTTAATAACCAGCTAATAGATGATATTAGTTTAGTTAGTAAATCGAAATTGACAATAGCATGATTTTTGAAAGCAACCGAACCGAATTATTTCCCTAGCAAATCTCTATTAATTTGTGATAGTTGTTCATTCAGCACATGACTATTTTACAAGACATCTCATCCCAATAAGCTGCGCTTATCATAGTAATAAAACTTTATATCCTCAGCTCTGAAGACACTAGGAGTGAAGAAATATAATGCTCGACCTGATGGGTGTGAGAAAGATCAGATAAACCTGCCAACCTTCATGACTGAAGCGTGAGTACTGAATATTTCTTTAAAGTCGAGTTATACACTTCCTTAATTAAAATAAAGTTATCTATATTTCCCATATTTGTGAATTGGCAGAAAAGATTCTTTCATATTTGCAACTTAAACTCATCGCTGAGACAAAAACTTATGCCTCATGTTCTCGCATCAACATTTATGACACAAATTGCTTCATTTTAGGGAAGAGGCTGCAATAACTTCTATAATGAGTTCACAGCCATTTTCCAAAGCATTTCCCGAACTAGAGGTTGTACCCAATTGTTGCCCACGTGCAGTTTCCGTTTGAATGTATCATGTCTTTCAGCATTGCATTGAGATCAATCTCTAGATTGATTCTGAACATGAAACCTTTCTGCTCTTCAAATAAACGTTTTTCAGCAAATTAAAATTATTGTAATTAAGTTGCATTTGTTTAAGTAGTTGTTATATATTATGAATGTCATGTTAATTGTTGCTGAACCTAAAATTGCTGGAAATTTGGAATCTTCTCGAAATGTTAATAATCGCGACGATTAGATCGTCATATCTGATTCGATTCGGTGATCCCCATTCCCAAGTATGTGGCATTGAATGAAACCTATGAACCTTTGAATGTTATGAAATATATACATGACGAGCAGGGATAGAATTATATGAAATTTGAATGAAGATCGATTTAAACACCCTACGCGCGTGGGGTGGACTCCTGGGGTGGACTTTTATTCAGCGCGTATTTTGTAGCCTGTTCAACTTGACGTTTTGATTCGTTACTATCTCAATGTCACAGATACACAGAATGTGAGGTGATCATCTTAAAGAGAAACGTCTCAGCTTTCACCTGGTGTAAAGTTTATCTTTGTACTCAAAATATAGCTCGCTCAGTGTGCAATAGAAGTTGACAATACAATAACCACGTCTGCGACCGGTCGTCAGATACCGGAGTGTTGCACAAAATTGGGTCCCTAAATTAAAATTCTATGACACAGTTACCATGCAGAAATGTCTGGAGTAACATTTGGTGAAAATTTGAAGGGTCTACTGTAAATATTGCAAAAGTTATTGAAAACAAACTAGCTTAATCAGAAGTTTTTGGGAAAATTTCAAATTTTGTACGTAGTGGGGTCTACAGGGGTGGACTCTTGCGGCGCGCATCTGACGGAGTGGCTTTTTCAACAGCCGTCAGTACGGCCAATATCAGAGCACAAATTATTGTGAGTAAGACCTTAATGATCAGCTATGAACCCCTCACTAGAGTAGTAACCGTATCTAAAAACAAGGAAATGTTATTCCGTCAAAGCTCAAATTTTTTACTCTTCTCAGTGCAGTTAGTGTTACTATGAATGTACTAGCTAAGTATCGTTGATCGTAGCTGCATTACACAGTAGAAAGTAACCAAGGAAGACTGCTGATTAACGAAGCAATTTCAACGTGAACAGTTCCAAAATACATAATCATGGCGACGATAGTTCAACTTGAACCTTTATAGTTTTTACAGTCTAAAATCACAATAAAATCACGTGAACTGCAAATCACAAAATCAAATCACTCAAATCTGATAGTCCCGTTACAGTACGCTTTCGTGACAACCTCAACGCTTAAAAAATAAATATTATCCAGTCTTGTGACCACCGATGGCCCTAACTCTCCCTTGTCCGCGAGGAGCATCGTTGCGACCATGATGGGGTTTCAGTTCTTTGTTCTTCCCACTCGGCTTCGATAGATCGAATTGGCTGGAAGTCAATCTATCAGAAAGACCTTTGTCGATCTCAGGGGCGTGGTAAATCGTGGATGTCGGAGTATAAAGCTTCCTGAAAAGATTGAGACATTCACTCGGTCTGTTGTAAATATCAAATAGTCCTTGTAGGCAGAGATTTAACTTGTGTTGGGTTTGATAACTAGAGAAGGCGATTTGATATTCATTGATAGTATAAGCATTATATAAGCATAAGTGATAAGTTTATATACCCTTTTTATGGTACCTCGAGGCTCGATATCTGTATTCAGTAATCATCACTCAAAATCTACTTATTAAATTTATTAACTAAACAAGTTAATGTATTACCGTCCTAGAGAGGTTTCCTGAGAATTTGAAGTCTCTGTAGGTTGCTGGCATGTCTACTAAGCTCTTCGATTGAGGAGTTTTGGACCCCTCGGCGGTCCAAATGATTTATAATGCTGTGGGCATTTTCAACATCTATCGAGGTAAACGCCCTCGCAGCATAACCTGTAGAGAATGAACATGTCATCAATGTGAAGTTCAATGATAAAAATCAGTGTGGCCGATTTCAACGGGCAGAATTCTAATATCATGGCCATGGGGAATGGACTATTTTTTGTCGATTTTGCAAACCAAACTGGCAAACGATTGTTGATTTTCGTCACTAGTCTAAAATGAATGCAAACGTTCGGCCGAACATTTACATGATTAGAAACTTACCGGTTTCTTTCGTTATTATGTACAGACATGGCCGGGCTTGGGTTCCGCATACGATATCTTCTATCAGATTAAAGTTGAACCCACACTTTGTACTGCTCGTGGGAGGAGGAAAGCAAACGGAGACCTTTTCCATGAGCATCTCGTGTAGTACCATCATCATGTCGATTCTGATATCAGCTGCAAAATTCGTCTATTACTAAATGCTAGCTTTTCGAACTTCGTATCTTGGAAATAACAACTTCTATGAAAGAACGCACACACACACACACACACACACACACACACACACACACACACACACACACACACACACACACACACACACACACACACACACACACACACACACACACACACACACACACACACACACACACACACACACACACACACACACACACACACACACACACACACACACACACACACACACACACACACACACACACACACACACACACACACACACACACACACACACACACACACACACACACACACACACACACACACACACACACACACACACACACACACACACACACACACACACACACACACACACACACACACACACACACACACACACACACACACACACACACACACACACACACACACACACACACACACACACACACACACACACACACACACACACACACACACACAGACACACACACAGAGACACAGACAGACAGGCATACAGGCATAAACACAGACACAGACGGACACACAGACAGACACACAGACAGACACAGTTACACACAGACAAGGACACACAGACACACACCCACAAACACATACAGACATAGACACACAGACACAGGCATAAACACAGACACACACAGACACAGACGGACACACAGACAGACACAGTACACACAGACACACACAGCACACACAGACACACACACATAAACACACATAGTTCACTTCAGTGCACTACATTACAATTACAGACACACGCAGTACAATCAGAGACACACACACGATACAAAGACAGACACAGACACAAACACACAGAGTACACTTCAGTACAATCACAGACGCAGGCACAAAGACATATACAAGAAGAGCAGATTGAAGTACCTTCATTTGCAGATGTTGACGCATTGATCTGTGGGATATGTTCTTCAGTCTGTAACTGATCATCTGCTAGAACTGTCTCATCTGGATCAACCGGAGGAGTATCTTCCGGCAGGAGTCTGAGTGGGTCTATCGGGACAGCCATGGATCGCTCTCCCTACCTTGTTGAATTAAAGACAAAGGTCAACGACGGATGTCGCATGTTAGTCCTGTAACTAAATGTAATCCAAAATAGTGAATAAATAATTTTTACATCTGAACGATTGTATGTCTGAATGGTGATTTTTAATCAATGAACAAAAGTTCAGGATTTTACCTTCTGTTAAGCTGTTAGCAATGACTCTAGCACCCTCTCCCTACAAAACGACCATATCTCGGTCTGAAGCTTTAAACCGTCTTGCCTCAGCAGCCATCTAGCACAGTCGACCTGTCCTGTTAATTGTGTGATCATCCAGTTACCAAATTTAATTCTTCAATATTCAAATAATTGATTATTAGACAAAACAGAGTTTAGAGCTCGACGTATGCTTCAGGGTTTCACACTGTGCTGTAATCAAACGCATGACTAAAACCTCTTGCTACTATTACCAATAAACCCATATTGTTAAGGCGGTCGAATGATTTACCTGAGTTGATCGCGTCCATGAAAGGGTTAAACTGCGTTCTGTCCAGCTTGTTAATGTCCGTTCCAGCAGCCAGCAGTGCCTCCGCCTCCGTCACTCTCCCTGCTTTGCATGGCCAGTGAAGCGTAGAGCTCCCCTCTAAAGCTCTAAGCTCTTTGACGATCCGACGAAGGATCCAGATTCCCTTCTTTTCTTTTGAGATTGCTTCAATTCTTCCTGGAGTATGCGGATTACCATTTATATACTTCCATACAGGGCGCGTGAACAATCAGCAATGAATTATCAATTAATCAATCTAGTTTTTGAGTAGAAAGTCCACAGATTGTGATACATTGGATTTGATATTGGAAAAGACATAGCTTACCAAATACCTTTTCATGGGCTTTTTGGAGGACAGGGATGACTTATTCCTGCGTGCCATTACACCATAACTATCTGCTGTAACAGCAAAAATTAGAATTATGTCGGACATAATTCTAAAAAATTGGAACATCGTAGTTAATCAGTGTGGTGCTAACAACAGAGAGCGATTTGAACGGTAGGCAATTTCATAAATTCCATTAACGCGGTATAAGGATGATTGGAACAGGCTAAAATCTACTATGTAGCATTGATAACTGGCTATATCGCTGCATTAAACGATAAAAGTATTGCTAACTATGGATATTCTAAGTGATCTAGGCAGAGGGGAACCGGCACAGCCAGATTGCGTTGTCTTCAGTGACTAAGTTTCACGATAGTAAAATTGACCTTATTTATTTTTAAAAAGGATGCACAGTTCAAGCAATAAATCGATCAGCTGCTCATATGATATTTGCATTTAAAGGAGGGCCCAGTGCAGTGACAAGTAAGTCTGTTAAGGCAACATTTAGTTCTGAGATTAGCTGAGTCTTGACAAAGATAAGTTGAGTTTCGAGAAAGTGCACACGGATAAAGTTATCAAGTGAAAATGATAAGACTAAGTTAGGGTCCAGTCAACAGAATGGCAGCTGTAACAGAAACAGTTCATTGGATAGGAGAGTAGGGGATTATGACGGAGTGAAGTTTATATAATAGCAGGGCAAACAAAAAACAACTGACAGCACTGAGCAAGTGAACTGGAAAATTGAGGAAGGGAAATAACTGTGGTTGTCAGCCCTTTCCGTAGCAATCAGGATTTCCCACGAGATCGATCAGGCAATCAGGATTTCCCACGAGACTGCTCCATCCGATGCGCGCACTTTTGTCACGTGACGGCCACGTGACGCTCAAATCGTTGTCACGTGGTACAGAAGGGAGGTTCCTAGAGCGTTGATCTCGACAAGAGGGAGTTTCTCACGGTTTATCTTCAATAACTATCGCTATTTTTATAGTAGAGAGTTGAAACTTTCACCAAATGTTTCCCTAGACATTTCTGCATGGTAACTGTGTCATAGAATTTTAATTTAGGGACCCAATTTTGTGCAACACTCCGGTATCTGACGACCGGTCGCAGACGTGGTTATTATATTGTCAACTTCTATTGCACACTGAGCGAGCTATATTTTGAGTACAAAGATAAACTTTACACCAGGTGAAAGCTGAGACGTTTCTCTTTAAGATGATCACCTCACATTCTGTGTATCTGTGACATTGAGATAGTAACGAATCAAAACGTCAAGTTGAACAGGCTACAAAATACGCGCTGAATAAAAGTCCACCCCAGGAGTCCACCCCACGCGCGTAGGGTGTTAAAATAAAGTTGAATGATCCTCGAAATTTCGTATACTGTCGTCAACAACTTATTGTGTAGTAGTAGTTACAGTATTGTGTCATGATCAATATGTGACATCTTTAGATCATAGCAAGCAATAATAAAATGGTGCATTCGCTGAACATTGAATGTTTATCTTGCTTATCAGTAAATAATGACCGTAGTTTAAAACTGGCAGTATCTACAAATATATGATTTGACTCTTTGCTTGCTATGAAAGTAAACTCAGTAGTAGTATACAGTACAGTAAAAACACAAATCTTTTATTTTGCATGATTCTAAAATCTATGGCAATTTCCCTACCATCTTTTTGCTAAACTTTCGATTAGGTCGATAAAAATCACATATATATTCTTACCAAACATTGTTCCATGTTTAACATGATTAAAAATTACCTCGGAAAATGGTAATCATAAACCATTTCTTTCAATCTGGTGAGATGTGCACAAAATCATAAAGTCCTAAAAGATGGTAGGGAAAGCTCATCTTAAGTTTTGATAAGATTTTTTATTCTTCTAACAATTTAATGATTTGATTTTACCATGTATTCATCAATAAAGTACATTTTTATTCAATGAGTTAACAAGTTTTCACATTTTCAGTAAAGCAGGTTGGAGCTAAGCATCTGCTAACTTCGTGAAACTAACTAGATCCTCCCTATTCTACCACACAAGGCTTTAATCTGTCTTGAACCAATCATTTAGGCCTCTATTGCGTGTTTTCGATCACGGCGATCTTTCAGATTTTTTACAGCACGAATATTAATTATTAATTCGTTTTATTACAATAATATGTGAGATGTGGTTATCACATGGACAGTGTTCTCAAGGACTCAGAGATATTTCGTGGAAGTTGTCACATTTATATTGTGTCAAAACAACTTTACTTTAAGAAGATTTTTCAGATCAGATACTGTTTGTTCTTAATCCCCAATAATGTAGATAGTCTATCACGTTATAATATTGTATTATGTAGTATTTAAATGTACATCATATTATGCACCTTTGCTAAAGATTAAATTTAGTGTGCAGGTATTTTTTGGAGTACTTAAGTCTTATGAAGTAGTCGCCATTTTCTACGAGACTTTCAAAAAGGTATCATTATTGGAAAAATCTACAAAAATGTTTAGTGTGGGCTTCAATAATTAAGTTTACTGGACACTATTTACTTTAAATATGTCAAATAATTTAACTTCTTATTGTAAGATTTCACGCTAACATTAAATCGTTCAGATCATGCACGTGATATGCTAAACCAGTATTAGGTAAGGAAACAGCTGAAGAGCTTCATCTTGGTCAGCACTGAACAAACCGTCGTGGAAAGTAACATGAAAAACCACGAAGAAAGAAAAAGAAGAAAAAAGCTGAAGGAATTTGAAGAATGTTGGTTGAAAAGGTTACAGGTTGACCCCCAGTGCACAATAAGCCCAACTGCTCACAGTCAGGGTAAGGTTATAAAGAACTTAAAGAAAAGAGAAACAAGCAAAGTTGGTCACAGATGCAATCCAAATCGGGATGTTAGAATACGCCAAAAATGTCCTCACCAAATAAAGTATCACGTCTCAACATATCTAAAACAAGGTAAAGGGTCGCTCAAGTTTTCTAAATGGACCAAGAAGCAAGAAAAAGATCAAGGGCTGACGATGCACCGTAACCGCCCGTGCAGCGATGGATCCCTGTTTAGTGTGCAGGAGTACACGATACAAAGCTTCACACTGCCCCAAAGGATACGACAAGGGGATCGGAGTTTGTTGTAAGGTGGCTCAACGAGCACACATCAAGTACATGTCCTAGGAGAGATATCGAGGGGTTTCTACGCTCAATGTTTTATCTGCAGTGAGACTGGTTCTCTTTGTCTCGGGCGTGTCTGATAACCGGGGTGGTACCCAATGGGGTGCTGCAAAGAGTGTGGATCTGTGAACACTTGCAAAGGATGTCAGACCAAAGTCAAGCAGAGAGAAGCCGGACGATAAGTTGAAAAAAAGTATATCCTCGTCTCAAATCCAATGTCGAAGAGAAATGTTATGATGGATCTTAATGTGTATGTTGAAATTAAAAAGACAGACCAAAACCGCAGATACATAACGACAGTGGTCAAGTTTTAATCGTTCCCGGGTTTTATTTATTTAGGTTTTTGATATTTGCTGAGTTGTACTAACAATTAACTGATGCTTTTTTTTAATTCATTTACTTTTGACTATTGTTTTTTTTTTCTTGCGCTTGATCAACTGTTACCATTATAAACGACTTTCAGTTTAATAAACGTGTTTTATTAAAATTAGGTTTTACTTTAAATTGTATTACATTTTACATTACATTAAATTGTTATGATCGAAGCGTTTTTAAAGTATTAAAATTAAAAGAAGGAACTCATCAAAATTTAGTATTAGTGTGATAGTATTTAAGCTTTTCATTCTAGATAAAAAAAGTCCTCGTGTTATGTAGACATGTGTGGATGGTTACAACCTGGTTTTCGTTATTAAAGCATAATATTGTAATAATATTTTAATAAAGACTTAACAAATGTATTTAATTGTAATTGTGAAAATAGTATAAAATATAATATATTACACCTCATTTTAAACCCCCTTTCAGAGATTACAATGTCAGCGGGATGTATTGTGAGCCAATTTTGTGAAGTTCTCAAACCAAACATCAGGCCAAGACAAATATGCAGGTGAGCTGTCCTGGCTAATAACTTATGTTAACACACCTAGGTTTCCGGATATATATTCGTGCATTATACTATAACATGTATTTATACATTTCAAATTTATCATATTACTTATTTTTTTATACCTTACTGATTAGTCATAGGTTTGCATTATCATTAGATGTGCACAAATTTGTGAAAAGTCACGTTTGTGCTGTAAGGTAGACTTTGGCTTTTAGAAAAGTCGATGTTTGCAAAGTATTATAAATGTAGGTACGCTATGTACCATCGATTGGTGTTGCAGAATGGATTGTGTGAAAACGGGTGCAGTAATTTTGTTCGTTTTTGTTTGTTTGATAAAGTTTAATGTTTTCGCGCTCCAAATTAACTACGTACTTTAGAACGCTTATGAAGTTTGACTTTTAAATTATTAAACAATATTAGAGTATTAAAGAATAGAATTAACACAATTTAATTACAATGCCCATCAGGGTATTGCAGTACAGTAGTCATCTATGGTCGGTACCTAGAAAAACGTGGTTTCAGTCCACAGTATGTGGACATTTAAACAAAAATCCAGTCTCCCTCTCCCTTCGCTAGAAAATGTTAGCTTAATTAGTTTTTTGAATGGTATGGAGGTTTTGATTGATCTAGATTAGCTGGCAAGGTGAAAATAAATGGGCGGTGTTCATCTGGATCTCAGCTCAAATCATAGTGTTTTGTGTTATGATGGCTCTTAGCCCATTACATGAAAACGACGACTCTTTACTAATTCATGTGTAATATATAAGTGTACTGCAGGGACCTTTCATATTACAGCTATCTTTGAGCGCGTCTGTTGTCCCAACTTTTACGGTCGTAGCTGCAGTACCACCTTTATCGGTCCCTGTTGCTGCCAGTCCCACCTTTAGCGGTCTGTAGCTTGGCAGTCCCACCTGGCCTTTTGCGGTCAGTAGCTGCAGTCCCACCTTAAGCAGTCTGTAGCGGTCTGCAGTCCCACCTTTCGCTGTCAGTAGCTGCAGTCCCACCTTAAGCAGTCTGTAGCGGTCTGCAGTAACACCTTTATCGATTCTGTTTGTTGCAAGTCACACCTTTAGCGATCTGTAGTTGCAGTCCCACCTTTAGCGGTTTGTACTTTGTAGCGGTCTGTAGGTCCCACCTTTAGCGGTCTGTAGCGGTCTGAGTCCCACCTTTAGGGTCGTAGTGTGGACTTGTACATTATTACACTGGCTCTTCATTATATCTTCTTTGTTTGAGTGACCACAGGAATGTACAATACCTGTGTTCCTATACCACCAGTTTGTCCTCACAGTCCAAGTTTTTGATCCAATTTAGTGTTGATATGTCTTAAATGTGCTTATTGTTGTATTTCAGATGTTTCTCTCGGAAAAAGCGTAGAAGACACATGCGTGTGAGCAGCTGTATCAATCCACATAAACGATTCCAATCTTACGCTATCAATGACATTTATCAGAATCAGTTCAGCCTTCAGTTTTTTGTGATAAAATGATATACTTGTTCAGCAAACTCGGCCCTAGTAAAGGGTAGATCAGGGGTTTAGTTTCTCTGTCTAGTAAGTTGTTGGTTGTACGCGACTTCATGAACATTATCAGGTTACCTATGAGATACGGCATGAAATAAGAACATTCGTTCGATGGAGTCTTAACTTGAAACATTCCATTCATTCCTTGTATTCAACTTGTCGGTGTGCGTCCTGTCAAGACGACCAGATCTGTTTGTTGTTTAGTTCTAGGAATAGGTCAGATATTTGGTTACCAATTACATTTCCTCCGGTTGTGACCAACGTTGTCACCGGGGACGGTAGGGATTTTTGCGGACCGTTTATCGGTGCTTGGTGCTGCTACTATTGCAAAATGAGTCGGAAATCTGAAACTGATTTGATAGTGTTCTTACACTTCCTGCCTGGTGAGAATTTATTTCGAAGGACTGATTGAGATTAAGATTAAAAATTTTTTTTGTGACTTTTTTTGAAATTTGGCAAGAATTTTAATCTTTAATTTGATTATTTCTACAATTTTCTCTTGAATAATTATTCAGACATTTTTCAATTGACATCGTGATCGTTTAGCGTAAAAGGATTGACTTTTTCGTTGTGATATTTATATACTATATATATCGTTATGAATTGACATACTTATTGTACTCATGCTATTGTTACAGGTTACACAATTGATTCATGTCGCACTAAAGTTGAGAAGAAACGCGCAAATTCTGTTCTAGTTGCCTGGAAACTTGCTTATTGCTAGCAATTCAACGGTACAAAGTTTACGCGTTTAAGATGTTAGCACTGTTTCGATATCACAGTACTGATTATTTTCCGTTGCGCGTTTTTGTAGAACTTAATAAATCTCTAGGAACGTAAGTTTTACCTCGCCTATAAATATAAATCTTCAATTTTAAACCTTTTATGATTGTTCACTGAATTCAGCAATGGTCACGTCAACGTGATCAGAAGATGGCAAATGGACAGTTTGGCGACTGAGGTCCTAGTCCGTTTATTCAGTTTCCTGCCTGTTAGTGAGATATTGTTCCTGTAGAATGGAGGTGACCGCCGTTAATAGCATACAATTCAATGTTGTATGTACCGATCAATATGGCTGTTCTACATTGATAAATATTCTTAAATTCCAATCAATCATGACATTGGTCCACATCATTTATCCTAACCTTATAGCTTCGGCATCTCTATTGTTAGCAATTTGAACGTCTTGATTATTCTCTCTTAACCCCCGCCCCCCCAGGGGGTTCTTTTACTTCTGGGGGGGGGGGGGGTTTTTTTTCTCTTTTTCCCACCCCCCCCCCCCCCTCATACTCCCTGCCCCATGTGCTATACTAAATTAACCCCAGCTTCTAAGGTATGCAGAAGATGGCACGAGTTCCTAGCGGTCACGAGTCTCTCCTCTCTAACAAGCTTGTTGTACTAAAATGTACCAGTAAGATTCAGACGAAGCAGCTCTGGCACATGAATAGCCAA